ATGTCTGAAGAATTCCGATAGCACATGAGAATTATCCACTGGGCTGGACATGGTAGCACATACTTCTTTCCTGTGAGTTTGAGGCTGGCCAAGTCTACCTACCCAATCCCAGGCCAACCTGGGCTATATAGTGACACTCTGTCTCAAACCAGACCAAACCAAAACAAACAAACAAACAAACAAAAAAAACTGTTACACACTGTTGGGGGCATTAAGGTGTCTCAAAGAATTGAGTTCAGTTCCTGGGACCCACACGGTCGAAGGTGAGAAGCAACTCCAACAAATTGTCCTCTGACCTCCACATGCACTATGACACACACAAATGTAATTTTAAAATTTACTTTTAAGGACTATCATACTTTGTAACACGTATCCTGGTTAGAACTGGAGGGTAATCAGTGACAGTCTGTAAGCCTCAGTTTCCTCATTTGCCAATGGGGATTGTAACTTGCCCCTACCGCCCACAACTGTGAAGACTGAGGCAAAGCTTGTGAAGCACTTACGAGGCACAGCATGTGGTACAAACAGAAGACTCGGTGAGGGTTACTACAGTTTAGGGTCTTGCCTTTTTTGTCTTTTACAAAAAAGGGGGAAAAAGAAGAAAATTATTTCCACTAAGTGAGCCAAGTCTGTAAAATGGAAATAATTATGGTCGTAGAACCCATTTTCCCCACAGGTAAGAACAAGCTCTAATAGGTTGCCCACATTGGTTATGTAACTGGACCCCATCCTGAGCTTTACTAAGGAAGCATTTGTCCAGGGGCATATTATTCCGCCCACTCCAAACTGTTAAGCCTGAAAAATGACTGTTTAATAAAAGAACATCTCAACATTCAATATAGTGAACTTGGCCCTGACACTCCTAAAACATAAGAGTTAAGGGGGTGGATGATCCAGATGATCTGACAGTCAGAGTTCCTTGGCAAGGACAGTTACAAAATCGTGCTAGCACGTTACTTAAGATCTGTAACTGCTAATGTTTTCTACCTTTGAAAATCAGACTGAGACCACGACAGCTCCTTTTTCATCCGTTCCTCCACTAATAAGCCCCCTCCACACCAATCATTATTTTATCTTTGCTTCTTGTCTGAGCAATACATTTCACGCTTACTGATGGAGTGAGAGTTATGAGGAAAACATTTAACAAAACAGCCAAAACAGGGGGCTGAAAACATGACCCAGTGGTTAAGAGCACAGGCTGCTCTTCCAAAGGACCCAGGCTTAATTCCCAACACCCATGTGGTGGCTCACAACCACCTGCAATTCCTGTTCTGGGGTCTCTGATGTCTTCTTCTGACCCCTGTGGGCAGCAGGCATCCACATATAGACACTCATACACATAAAATATCTTAAAAACAAAAATGAACAAATAAAACCAAGCCCCAATGGAAGTCCACAGGCTATATATAGTTCCAGAGTAGAACCCTTCAGGGTTAGGGTTATTTCACCAGTTCAAGCCCTAGGTGAACTGGGCTGAGTTTAAGGTGCTAGCTTGAGGATGTCCCCTGTGGGGCTCACTGGGAGGTGCCGGTGGGTGCTGGGAACAGTGAGGAAACCCGATCCTTGAACAGTAATGCACAGGCGCTTGCAGCAGAGGACCAGCTCATAGGAAGGCCTGTGGAAGGCGAGATTTTTAAACGTTAAAGAGTTTAAATTAGAGGAAATTAGAGCCCAGACCTGTAGGTGTTAATAGGTACTGATGGGTGAAGAAACAAGTATCCAAGTATATGTGAGTTTTCAAATTCGTCCACTAAAAGGACACAGCAGCAGCGACAGCACAGGCGGCAAATAAGCTCAGCCCAGCATCGTTCTCAACTCTAAACCAAGATGTTTGTGGGGAAATGGTTGATCCCCATCCCACTCCCCAGGGCTGGGGTATGGAGCATTCCCGATGATACCTTGTGGTACCAGAAATGTAACAAAGTATTCCAAGGAGCATGGAGAACATGTTAGGACACTATAGCTTGTCTGACAGTACTCAGGAGCCCTGCAGATATAAAGCAGGGAGCAGTCAGTGTTGCCTACTGATGGGAACAAATGGTTTGACAAAACTACCTGACAGATGGAGTATCAGTCAAATGCAAACACATGGCACAATGAAAAAATCGCCACTTGGCAGGCAATAAGTGATTCAAATAAGACTTCTTAATGGATGTTAAAAACTGGCGTATAAGCCAGGCGTTGGTGGTGCGTACCTTTAATCCCAGCACTTGGGAGGCAGAGGCAGGAAGATCTTTGTGAATTCGAGGCCAACCTGGTCTACAGAGCTAGTTCCAGAACAGGTTCCAAAACAATACAGAGAAACCCTGTCTCAAAAAACAAAAGTTGTCCCCTGACCTCCACACACATGCTATGGCAATTGTGCACCTGCCCCCACCACCAAATAAATTAGCATTCAAAATAAGAGAATGCTTTTTAAGAATGATACCAATAATGCAGGCAATTGAAAAGGGGAAAAAAATGAACCTTAAAATTATAAATTTTGTTTCAAATCACAGGATCAGCAAAGTGAAGACAAGCCAGGGGAATATTTACCACTCATATACAGAAGTATCTAGAAAACATACACGACTTCTAACAATGAAAAAGATACAGTTTACAAATGGACAGAGGAGCTGAAGAGACATGACTCCAGAGACACACGTAAACATCCAGTAAGCACGAGAAGTTTATTAGGGAAATACAAAGCAAAACCTCTTCTCACATGCTGGGGATGGAGAAAATAGAAGGTGGAGTCAAGAAGACATGTGACAAAAACAAAACCCTTCTGCATATGCCAGTGGGAACACAAAGTGGCACAGCTACGTCCCCAGTCAGTCTGTAGCTCCTTAACTGGTCAACCAGTTCCCAAACCATCCAGCAACCCTGTACTTAAGCATACACACAAGCAAATTTAAAATACAGATCTTTATGTTTTAAAAATCTTGTACGAGAATGTTCAAAGCAACATTTTTTTTTATAGCAGCCCCAAACTGGGAACCACTCAACATACGTCAACTGGTGAACAACACGACACCGAAACAAAGGAGTATCATGTAACCGTAAAATGGACTGAAAGTGTACACCTATAATCCCGGCGTTCTAGAGGCAGGGGGGTTATAAGTTTGAAACCAGCTTGAGTTATACAATGCAAGACCGCATCTCAAATCAAACAAAAATGATGCTCACACATTACTACGTTAATGAATCTTGAAAAATGAGTGTTAATTGAAACGAAAGAAGATACAAAAGGCCACGTGTTACATGATTTTTTTTAAAATGAAGTGTACAGAAGAGACAGAAAGATTGATGATTGACTAGGGAAAAGTGAAAATGAGGTGCAAATGGTTACTAGGTTTCTTTCTGGAATGATAAAAAATATTCTGGAATTACATAGTAGCAGTTGCACATTCTGGATATACCAAAACTAGTGAAATGGAAATGTATATTTTAAGATTAAATATTTATGGCATGTAAACTGCACAAACACAAAAAAAGGTGAACAATCCCCCCCCCCTTACAAAAACTGTTTTCTAAGCTATTGTTTCAGGTCACCTATTGAGTCACAAAAAATATAGAAATAACTGCAATGATACTTAACATGTATAATTGCACTGCAACAAATATAGTAAGCAGCCCCCAACCTCCAGACCCATGTCTCACACATGCCAGTTAAGTATACTGAGCTATATCCCCAGGCCCTTTCTCCTCCCTTTTGAGAAGGATCCTTTGTGGTCCAGGCTGACCTTAAACCAAGTTTGAATGAAGCGATGAAATTGCAAGCATATGCCACCATGCCCAGATAAAACTTCTTTTTAAGAAAACTACTTGTGGTTATCAGTTGACAGCTCACGTGCTATATTTGTTCTTCCTTCGCACAGCTGACCTGCACTCATGATTTATTTCACTGTTGTCTTTAAAAGTCATGTTTTTCTTAAGTAGCTGAGGCTGTAATGAAGGTCTCCATTTCAGGAATTTTAGGATAATGTCATCTAGACACAGGCAGAAATACTGTTCTCTAATGGCATTATGCAGAACAGCCATCTTCGAGCAGTACTTTAAAATTTAATTCCTGCTCATAGGACAGCAGAAAGGCTGCACAAGAAATCATTTTAGATAAAGGTTTTAATTACCATGTTAATAGATACAGCCAGAAAGTTTATACACTATGTAACAACTGCGGGAATAGAAATAGATTTATAGGCTTCCTCTATATAGTAACGGGGGGAAATGGCACGTTTCGTGACTGCTAGAAAGAAAATATACTCTTTATGTTCACCTCTGCAACACCAGTTTGTACAACTGGTTTTCAGTATCCAAGGGCTACCACACTTGCTTCAGGGCTGTAACTCACAAAAGAAGGCTCTGTCAGCACATAAAGCTGAATAAAAGGCTAATTTTAGCTTGACAGTAGATCACTGGGTTAAACCAGATCAAAGCTCCTCTAAATGCTATGTGCAGAGAGGAAGGCTTAAAGCGTAAGCAAGCATCAAGGACTGCCTTGATTACTCTGCCTTCTAAGAAATAAACCAACAGGTTGCAATGGGACAACATGGTTCACTGTTCAAGTCTATGGAACTGTATTATTTTCAGTTTTTACTCTTAAGCAGGATTCTTTGTACTACATGAAGGGTGGCAATTAACCCGGTTCAGTACAGTTTTTGCAGTAATAGGCATACAATCCAACCACTGTTTACATAACCTTAGAAAACAGACTAAGAAAGGAACACATTTGCACCCTTTAATTAAATTACAGTGTTACCTTATAAAAATGTGAGGGTCAACATTTGTTTTTTACAAACAAAGCATTGGATAGTTTCAAATACAGCTGCTCAGCTAATAGTTGTGTTTAAATAAAATACCTGCAGAACTGGTAAGACACCAGGCTTTCTTTTTGCTGTTTTTTTGAGACAGGGTCTCACTATGTAACTCAGGCTGGCCTCTAATTCACAATCCTCCCATGCCAGCCTCCCAAGTGCTGCTGGGATTACAGGTATATGTACCACACTCAGCTTCAAGGCTTTCTTTTAAATGACATTTATTCAAATGATGAGGTTATAAATCCAAATTGAACAACAACAACAACAAAATCTTCATAAACAAGAAATGAGAGAAATAAACATTTCTTTCTAAACATGTGCTGCCTCACACTACACTGAAGGCAGACAGCAGAGAGACCCACGTGGAGGGGATTGTGTATCAGAATTTGAAAAGGTCTAACAGCACAATACACTCTGTTGTTGTTGCACCAGTTTTTGTTTGTATCTTTTCTAGCATATCCTTTCTATATAATTCTCCCTTTAATTTCAGAAAACGTAAGAAACTGCATGAACGCAGGCACACCAGTTTCTGTAAGGCCATGAACTGGTCCCCTAGGATGCACTGTTTGTTTGTTTGTTTGTTTTTTTCAAATAATGAACCCTTTGGAGCAAGGGATCTGCAGAGGAAATCAACACCTTCAGCTCTGGGCCCGTCTCCTCGTTGGGCCTCTAGCATCCTGCAAGGCAGAGCATTTACGAAATGGGTTCTATTTACATTTTCTTTCTTTATTCAGTACTGGGAATCAAACCCAGGGCCTTGCACATGCTAGGCAAGAGCTCTACCACTGAGCTACACCCCAGGCCCTTGATTCTTATTTTTCAAAATCTAATACATGCTCACGTTTTCTGGCAGATTCTTTTTGTATGTTACAAAACAAGACAGCGAAAACTTAGCCTCAGATAAGAATCCTTTCTTCCTGAGAAAGGTCAAGCAGACACTTCCTGACATCATGTCCTTTACACAATGGCATACTGTTCATATAAAAGGTCTCGTATCCTATAAAAGTCTTGACAAAGGCAGCCTTCTAACCCGATGCGTCCGGTTTCTGTCTAAAAAAAAAAGTTTAGAAAGTTTTTAGTACATCTGTTTATCAACATGCAGAAACAATAAGCAACATCTATACCACCGACCACTTCATGACTGGTCAGGAAATGGGCTGCCCTGACTCCGGAATATAGGTACAATATAGTAGTAACAAGATTTAATAGACACATAAATGTCAGAGGATTCAAACAATAAAAACTGGCTATAAAATTATGTACCATGTATTTAAATCACTGCTATAAGTCTTCAAGGCCAACATTATAAATGTAAATGAAATTATAAGAACTACAGAATACATATGGCAAGGCCTCAGAAGCACACACATCATCAAGGCAGCCCTCCTAAAAATAAACTTACTCTGCGGACTGCTACTTGATTGTTGCAAACAAGTACACCCCCTACAAATTCCGCTTGAATTCCCTCCCGCAGAAGAACTTGCTTGAAGTCAGACAGTCTTGGTTCATTCATAAAAACCGACTGGTGTCCAGGAACCTTGAATAAAGTCAAAGGGAAAAGAGTAATGTCAATAAAACAGTAGGCACAAAGCTGTATTGGATAAAGTGGAACGCTGCGTGATCGCTAGGATATTCTTATTATTCCCTCAAGTCTTTGACAGATCATTTCAGGACTGTCAGTTACATTCAAGTTTGTTATTCTGGTTCTACTTTGCCACTTACATTACAAAGCCCTTCACATTTTCTGATGTTTCACAATTTCATTAGTCATACCCCCAATAACAGAGACTCAAGGTAATATTATGCTCTTCACCCACCCACTCTCTGGAGGGGTCAACTGGAGTGTCAAGAGGCAGAGCTGAACTGAAACCTCATTTCCAGGCCCCAGTCCCCTGTGTTAAGTCTTCCCTGATCCCACTTCACATTCCTGCCTCCTCAGAGTGCCTGCAATGGATGCTACAGGCTGAGAACCAGAAAGGCAAGTGGTTTTGCCTACTCTGAATGTGCTTTAAAGGGCGCTACTGCTTTAGCACAGAGAAAAAAAATTCCTCATTCTTCCTCCTCCCAATTTCAAGAGTAGTGCTGTATCAGAAGACAGCCGAGCGCTGCCTCTCTCCAACTAAAGACTTCACTTGACAAGCCTGTAGGACTCTTACAGCATGAATACTGCTCTAGTTTCACCACCTAGGAACTTTTCTAATTAACTAGGTCCCTCCTGAGAGCATGTAACTCCTAGGCCAGCATTAAGGCTGTAATCAGTGGAAGAGGACATTTAACTGCAACAAAACCAAAGTGATCTGAATGGAACAGACAACACGCAAAAATGTCACCGTTACTAAACTCCCATCTCCTCACTGGAGAGCATCACGGTCAGACCCGTACTTCAAAATCCATAGGAAAAACACAGATCGTGAACAACTGCATCACTAGCTAGGGGAGGGTAATATGACACATGATACAAAGCAGAAAGGAGGGCCGGGGGTGAGAGAGAAGAGAAAGGGAATTTACAAAACAAACAAACAAACAAACAAAAACAACAAAAAAACCTGTTTAAAAATAAATAAGCTGGGTGGTGGAGAGAGCCTTTAATCCCAGCAGAGGCAGGTCTACAAGAGCTAGTCCAGGACAGGCTCCAAAGCTACACAGGGAAACCCTGTCTGGAAAACAAACAAACAAACAAATAGCATAATACTATATATCTTACTTACACTTTTTTAATAATTAAAAAAAAAGATTTGGTAAAGGTTTTCCTTAAATTATCATCCTCTAACTGCAAAGATTGAGACGCACAGAAATATGCCCTGGGTAACCCTTTGTGAGAACTCCAAATTTGGCCCCCACACAATGTAGTCTAAACAGCTAAAATCCCAACAGGGGAACTAGAAGGATGACAAATGGAGAGACAGACAGACTGGGAATGTAGCTCAACAGAGGAGCACATGACTAGCACGTGTGAGGACCATAGATCTATCCCCGACCACCAGCGGAGAGCAGAGAAAACAGGCCTCTCACCTCGTGAGGTGGTAAAGGCTCCAGGGTGGGGATGACCTCACTCTCTTCACCCAGTTCCTTATCATCGTCTCCAAACAGACTTTTCATGGCCTTCTGCTGGGCTATGGCACTGGAGTCTGAAGGACCATCCACTTGCATTTCAGCGTCTTCTCCATCGTCCTTGAGTTCTCCTTCTTCGAGAATAACTCCCGTGTCCACTTTGGAAACTCTCATGTCTAGGACGCCATCTATCCAAGCCAGCTCGGCATCTTTAGCTTTACAAAACTGAAGGGAGCTGACGAGCGAGTCCTTTAATCGTACCTGGGTATGCAAAGGAAGGGGAGGGACAACCCACAGGGTGTAGGTTAACAAATCAAACATAGTCTTCACCATCTTCTAACTCTGGCAATATGATCGACACCTGAAAATCTCTCTCCTCCAGTCATCAATCTTCACAGCAACCTAATTATCTGTAATGGCTTGAGAATCCTTGGCCACTTTCCAAACAAGGTTCTCAATCTGACTGCGCAACAGAATCATGGGGTACCCCACCCCACCCCGATACTAACACGCACTACATCTATTATTTCTAGTATAATCACTGAAATTAAGACTGGCACTCAGATGGCCACCTGTGCAGCGATGGCTGCAGGGTTAGTGCTGGCCACTGTGCTTCCGGTAATCTGCCAGGTAATTTCATACCTCCATGTGGCTTTCTCTTACTTACCCAGGACAATTCCCTGCCGGGCAAGTTCTAACCTCTTCCAGACACAGATGGCACACCAACTTCAACTGTCACTGTCTCCAGATAAGACTATTTTCTCCTCCAACTACCACTTTCTGTACCCGTCTCCATTTCTTTAAATTAGGAGAGCTGTGGCATTTGTTAAGTTTTTTAATATCATTTTTTGGAAGGCTAAGGCAGGAAGGAGAATGGAGTTTGAGACTAGCCTGGGCTACACAGCTAGACCCTGTCATTCATAATGAAGGAATGAGCATGTGTTGGTGGTTTGGAGAATGCTAACCACCCCCTCACATTGGTACTTTGACCGAAGTTGTATGACTAGAAGACTCTTTGCCCACTCTTTGCTGCTGTCTGTCCTAACAAACGAGCTAAACATCCAGCAAGAGCCCTTCAGCTGTCATTTCTTCCAGAAGCCTTTTCCAAACCTCCAAACCTGAGAAGGAGCCCTCTTCTTTATCTCCCAGCACCTTGCACACCGCCAAAGGAGTACGTGTAAGGGGAATTCCATTTGTTTTGTTTAAACATCCGGAATTTCAGGATTGTTAGGGAAGGGAGCTGTACCCATCTCACTCACCGTATTCCTAATATATGTGAGCTAGTGTGCCAATAGTGTGCTAGTGTGCAACGTCTACTTCCCCATGGCTCCAGTGCCAACATATTTACCTGGTAGATATGTGTTTCGCTTGTGGCATCAACTGTTTCGTGTAGCTTTGGCATGTACACTTTAATATCTTTCCCACCAAACGCACGGCAGCACTCGGCCAGATCCTGACTGGCCTCTGGGGGACCGTGGACAATGATCAACTGCCGTGGTTTCATCTGATTGATGATCTTTTTAATGGAGTCTCCATCCGAGCGCCCTTCATAGTCTATGTAAGTAACCCTGGCTCTGCAATTAAACATAACCATTCAAGTTCACTTTCCTGGTAAGTTAACTCTAAAACTAAGCTTCCATCAGGAAAGAAATGCATATAAGGGGAACTTGTGAAATGTATGTTACAGTATGTATCCCAACTAAGAATATACAGAAAAGACGTCACTGGACAAAAAAAACATTTGTTCTTTGATGATTCAAACTCCAAAATAATCACTTCTTGGCAGTATTAAATGGATTATGCAGGAAAGGGTTTCTTGACGACTTCTGGTCCTGAAAATTTTCTACCCCCAAGCATTAGAATGTGAAAGTAAAGGAGGACATTTCATGAAGCAAGCAGTACGCAGAGGGATTAGCTTCTCAGCTCCACCATTCTCCCACCTGCTACTAGACTTATTAAAAAGGCCGGAAATAATGTCTCTTCATATAAGTGTACAGTTTAATGTTCCGCTCCCTCCCTATCTTACCACTAACACAATTACTTTTGTATTCAATGATCCTCAATGAAAATACCACCATACTTCACAGAAAAGGGAATTTTAAAAGCATGAACTCATAGTGGCTCTGCTGAAATCTCACTTTTGAAACAATGCAAGTTATATAACTCAAAGGCTTGAAACTGTATCTTATTCCCTGATCTCCAAACCCCACAAAGGCACTTACTTTATCTCAATAGACTCTGTTGCAGAAACACACTTGGTGGGAACATCAGACAGGTCCTGATCCATGGGCTCATCTCCATTTGTCAAACCAGATTCTAATTTGTTTTTTTCTTCTTCAGTAGCTTGAAGTTCTGGCACTAAGAAATCTTCTGGTCTAAACAGTGAGTCTCTAATTAGACATGTGTGGAAGGCATGCTAACATTATGTAACATATGTAACAGACCAATAGGTGGCATAATTTAAAGATTCCTCGAATATCTTAAGACTTAATTTAACTCAAAGCTAATTAATACATACTACCAAACAGATGACTACATATATTATGTTTTTCATTACTACTGAAGAGTGCTATTTATTTACCTAGCAGCACGAAGGAACGAACCCAGGACCTTGCACAAGCTAGGCAAGCATGCTATTCCTGAGCTACATCCCCAGCCCAAGAGTATTCTTTAAGGATGCTGTAGGCTGCTGAGAGCCTCTGAACACATCAAGAGAAGAACTGAATGGCTGTAAAAAGCAACAGCCACTCTGAAATCTGGCCCTGGATATTTTTCCCCTGAGACAGGGTTTCTCTTTGTAGCTCTGGCTGTCCTAGAATTAGCTCAAACTCACAGAGATCCACCTGCCTCTGCCAACCCAGTGCCGGGATTAAAGGCAAGCACCGCCACCACCACCCGACAACTCTTCACTTTTTATAATTTACTTATTAGTGTGAGTGTATGTGTGTGTGCCCAAAAATATAGTTATCCCTTGAGCATTTCTGGAAGGGTGAGAGACCTGTTTTTAAATCCTATACCATCCTGTGATCATCCTTCTAACTTTCTAGCCCATTCTCACTCCTCTCTGAGAACCTAGGCTCTATTCTCTAACAGCCAGGTTGCTTATAGCTTCTTATTCCCCACAGTTAACATCTCCAACTGTAAACCACAGAATAACCATAGCAGTAACAACCACTTTAAGCAAATCTGGTATGAGTGTCCAGGCTAGAGATCTTTCTTATAAACAAAATTTCACAGCTAGAGTGTAATTCAGTGACAGAGTAACTGCCTAGCATGTGTAAGACCCTGGGTTCGATCCCTAAAGCGACCCCCCCCAACCCAAAGCAACAACCAAAACCTCCTTCAACTTCACTTAATTTGTATCCCCAGGTTTCACAGGAAAGTCAAGTTAAAGAGTAGTGTCCAGGGCCGTGAGATGGCTCAGTGGGTTAGAAGCAATTTGTTTCCCAATTGACAATATGAGTTTGATCAATAGACCCTACAAATGGAATGAATGTACTGACTCTTACCAGCTGTCCTCTAGTTTCCACATAAACATATGTATATGAGGCACACTTGTATACACACACACACACACACACACGTACACACACGTACACACACACACGCACGCACGAACGCGCATCACTTATCAAATGAACCTAAACAAACACCAGCACTGTTTACATTGCTATGTTTTCTCTTGGTTGTTTTAGAGGGAAATGAAGACAATGGAACTTTCCTAAGTCCAAGAATGGTCTAAGTCTACCACTTGCTCAACAGCATTATGGAAGTACTAGGCAAGTACATGCTTATAATCCTGGCTATACAAGTGGTATAAGTATATCTATATTCAGCCAGACAGGGAGGGGAAGAGGAAACCCGAGAGTAAGTGTCAGACACTGTGTACTAGGACAAGGCACCTGACTGACCTGACAGGGGAAGCAGAGGGAGCCCTGGCAGACTTTTACTCAGGTAGCAATGATTTCAAAACTGCAGTTTGAGCATGAGATTTCAGTTGTTTTTCAGGGTTCCGCTCTTTATGTCATATTCCCCTTGTAGCCAAAACCATTCCAAATAAATACAATTACCAGCAAAAGTTCTTTCTCCACAGCACATCCCTAACCTTCAAGCCTTTCATGCAACTGAGTAATGGAACACTCTCCCTTCACTACTAATTTTCAAGACGCCCCTCGACCTTTCTACTCCAGGCTTCCCATTCGAAGCCTCCTGCATCTTTCGAGCCAAGGCACTCAGGAGCAAAGCACATGGTGACCAGAGAGATCCAAGACACTGAGCCGAAAGAGCTTGTTCTGCTCACATACTTGATGATCTCTCCATATTCATCCCATTTAATCCTTTCCTCGGGGGCAGGGAACATGGGGTAGGATTTTTTGGCCTGTTTGAAGAAGCTGCCTTTGCGGCTGCCTTCGCCTTTCATCATCAGGTCATGCTTTGTCTTATGTGCCGAAGGCTGGTCAATGTCCTCCTCCACGTCACTCTCGTCACTGGAGTCGATGTCTGCCCTAGGGGGATGAGAACACAGCAGGGTCATCATGTCATTAAGATAGTGTGGCTTAATATTTATAAAACTATGAATGAACTGCTGGTCAACGTTACCCCAAATCATAGTAGTTGGTACAAGTGGGTCAGTGTTTTGTAAAAGAGTAACATTAACGTCTTTAGTAAATTGATATTATTAGCACTAAAAGGATTTTACTTTTGTCATTTGAAAACTTTAATAAAGTCATAAATCCTAAGACAATTGAAGCTGTTTCCATTGAATGCCCCTGAATGTTTGAATCCTACAAACGCGTTCTTTTTACATTATATGCAGACTTAACCGTATGAGTTACTCATGTGAGTGACTCACTCTTTCGACTGCTCAAGTTTCTTAGCAGCTTCTTTCTTCAGTTTCTCTTTTTCCACATATTCTTCAAGCTCTTTCCCTTCAAGCTTCACGCGCTTCCTCAGCTATTGAAAAGCAGACAAAGGGAAGAACGGCATCAGGAGGGCTGGGCAGTGGGTGTGAGGCACATCACTTCCCCAAAAGTGACCCATGGCTTTTAAATTCCCATTAAAGTAATCAAGTTTCCATGACACACAATTAGAGACCTTCTTAATAGAGTAGTATTAAAACCGAGCTGTTAGAGGATGGATTTAAATCGAACTGGTTAAAATACACCAGTCAAAGGGGAAAGGAAGCAGAGCTAAAGACTTTTATAATTTGAAGAAGAAAAGCCACATTAAGTCCCAAAGCCGTAAGTCATAAGGAGAAAATACAACATCTTTCACATTTTAAATCTCACAGAACTAAAAGGAAAGGTGAACATACTGGCTGTAGTATGACTGCCAGAATCTATGTTTTCCTAAGAACTCCCAAAATCAAGAAAGAAAGAACACATCAAAAAGGACAGAATGTGCAGAGAAAATTTTAAAAATAAGAAACATGGATGGCTTATAGCCATGGGTAGAGCACTAATTTTACCAATGGTTGTTGACACAGATAACAAATAAAAAGTTAACACAATTTGTTGAATTTGCAGGACTGGAAATGCCTACCTGGAGAAGGAAAACCTTTGGCTCTTTCCAGCAGATACTATTAGTAAACTGTTAGAAGACAATTTGCTAACAACTAAAAGTAAAAATGTGCTTGTCTTTTGATACAGTTCTTGCTATTTCGGAATTTACTCTATTGAAACAGAAATGTTAATATATATATATATATATATATATTATATATATATATATATTAATGTTTAAAGTAATAATAAAACTGGCAAATTCATTAGTGTGAGACAACTGAATTAGTAGTTTTCATTCTTTTATCATCAGAGTTCCTTAAAAACCAGAGAACCCTTGGGGCTGGTGAGATGGCTCAGTAGGCACTTGCCGAGAAGGCCTCATGACCTATGCTCCAACCCCAGAACCCACTGTGGAAACAATCAATTCCAGAAAGTTGTCTTCTGACGTCCATGTGTGTACCACGGGTACACACAATTCATACACAAATACAACATTAAAAACACAATCAAAGAGCCCCAGGGGTTGAGTGATGGCTAAGAGCACTGCCTGCTCTTCCAGTTGATCTCAGAACCCACACAGCAGTTCACAACTGTCTCTAATTGCAGTTCCAGAGCATCCAATACCCTCTTCCAGCCTCCACAGGCACCAGGCGTGCACATGATGCAAAAATACAAGAAGACAAAGCAGCCATATACATAAAACAATGAAAAAATTCAGTGTAAACAGAGCCTAGATTTTAAATCGGGGAGGTGGACGTATGTACTTGTATGTGGGGGAGGTCATGAAACTAGAAAGGGGATCATGGGAAAGGAGGCACAGAGATGGTAATGGGATGCACGAGGTAAGAGCAGACAGAGGAACAGCCTGGGGGAAGGAAGGAAGCCAGTCGGGGCAGGGGAGAGGCACAAGGAGGAAATTCAATGCCACATTTGTACAAGGAGATGCCGTGCCGAAACTCACCACACTGTATGCTAACCTAAAATGTAATGATTTTTAAATGGCAAGTCATAACAACTCAAAGCAACGCGTACTCCTGAGTGGGATCACAGAACAAAACTGGAACAGGTAATTAAAGAGGGCACTGTTGTGCCAAAAAGCTGGAGTTGGCAGGGTCGAATGAAATGGTAGTATGGTGTCAGCGTTGCTCACCTGGTTTCTGGTGCTCTTGTTTCCACACAACACACACTGTGGTACCATCCAAGGCAATGCTGGGATAACTACTTCAAAATGTGTGTGTAATATTGTGTCTGTGTAGACACAAGACACTATACAGCAAACCCAGCTAAAACCTCGACAACTTGCGAGCGTATTCACACTATTTTTGTGACTTCTGGCTAAATCTGAAACTATTTCAAAATAAAAATTACAAAAATCAAGTGGTGAACACTCACAAATGTGGCCTCTCACATCTGACTATTAGCTAACTGGTAATGGGTTTTAAAATTATAAACTGTTAGCAACTCACAGAGATACCTTGCACAAAAATAAATTTTAATTAAGTATTTAATTCCCTGATTTAACTTGTACCTCCTATAAGAATGTTGTCCTTAGCCTGGTGTGGTGGCTGAAGCCTGGACCTCAGAACCCAGGAGCTCAGGAGGAAGAATGGAGTTTCAGGTTTCAGGCCAGTCTGAACTACAGAGCAAGACCCCCATCTCCAAAAAAAAAAAAAAAAAAAAAAAAGCTCAGTTCTAGTTTCTGAGATCTGAAATTAACTGCTATATTCATAGATAGTTTCCAGAATAATCTACTCTGAGATAACATTCCTTCTCCACTTTCACAGTATCTCTCTAAATCATGCCATTTCCTAATATAAACATCTATCTAGTCTGCTTTTCGCTCATCCCTACCCCTGTTTTTTTTTTTTAAATTACCGGCTTTGCTCTTTCTAAATGAACAAGGCACTGTACACACGCAAGGAAGCACAGGAAACGATAATGTGTCAGAGGACTGGCCTGTTGGGAACTCGCTCTTCTGTCACCATGATAGCAACCAGCACATTCACTGAGGGCCACCAGTGCACTGGCACTAATCTGGCCACTACGAAGGTCCCTCTTCTTCTGGAACTTCATACAATTTGGTAGCAAAGACAACAGGGAACACTGGTAATGAACATTAAGAAAAATAATACAAGGTTGTAACTAACCAGATGGTGGTGGTGGTGGTGCACACCCTTTTATCCCAGCACTCAGGAAGCAGAGGCAGACAGATGTGACCATATAAGGGGCAGAACAAGGTGATGGGAGAGAAGAGGGGAGGAGGAGGTGAGTGGGGACAGAACCTGAGCACACTAAGCAGCCTTTTAAATTAAAGCCTCCTACTTTGTCTCTGCTGTTTCTGATATCATGAGAATGCTTTGGAATATCATTTTCTCGCCCCCCCCCCAAACTTTTAATGTCCTTTTAATTCCTCAATGGCACATCAACCCTAATTGAGTTTCTAGTAATTAACATTTTCAAATTCAGTATTTCATCTCTCATGAAAGCATTTTAAATTCTTCTGAGTTATTTTAACTTGGTATTTCTAAGCTATTAAATAACCCAAGACAGTATTTTATTTTGATATACTTGCTTGGAATCCTTGATTGGCAATGCTGTAGTTAGTGAATATTTATCAGACTTTAATTGCTGATAATGATGCTTTTCTTAAACGATTTATTATATAAGACAAGGATACCAGATAGCTTTCCACAAAGTAAATAATTCCTTCAAACACTGCTATGAGGACAAAATACAAAATGGTCATTTAAACTGTGCATTGTCAGCAGTTACTAGCCAACCCACTTGAGATGATGGCTATGGACATCTGTCAACAATACGGGTTGTGGAAAACTGGCAGATTTGATGGCTTGGTTATTAAGCAAAATCTTTCCACATCTCGGTCATCCTATTAGCTGTCTTGTTAATGAAGGTGCAGAGGGGTTAGTGTATTTAGTGGTAGGACAGGAATTCCTGACTGACCTTCTATTTCTCTGCTAAATTCCAGACAAGGTCATGTGCTAGGGATGAGGCTAGGTTAGTTGTGGAATGCTGGAAGAGAAAGAAGGCAAAGGCTGGCTTACTGGGGAATGACAAAATGAATGGCCCGTTGAATGCTGAATGCTACTGTTAGTTCCCTTCCAAGGGAAAATCTGTGTACTGCTCCTGTTTAACTCACATGGCATAAAGCTGCCTGAATGCAGGCACACACCAGTGCAGAGGTGTGGCTAGGCGACAGGAAAGGGAGGCTTGCTAACAGTGCCTGCACAGTGTTTAATCAGCTGTCTCTAGGCTAATAGGACAATGCATGGTAAAAGATGAGGTTAATGAACGAAGACAGCCAATGAGACTGACAAGCTGCTGGCCCTGGAGTCAGAGGAAGGCAGCTGGAAGATCAGACTCAGACACTTGAAGTAGACAGGGAGCAGTCGAGGCAGAGTGGACGAAAGGCCATTAGGAAACAAGGTGTTCTTCAAGAAATAGAGAAAGGCTAGATGGGAAGGCACACATCTTTAATCCCAACACTGAGAAGGTAGAGGCAGGTGGATCTTTGTAAGCTCCAGGCCAGCCAGAGTTACATGGCTCTCATAAACAAAGAAACAAGAAAGAAGACTGGAAGGAATGGAGGGAAGGAGGGAGGGAGGCCACCGGCCGTTCTGTGGAGCCTACCGTTGCTCCGTTAAATGGTCATGCTGCCAACTGCCTCCCAGATGCGCTTGTTTACACCCCTGGATGAGTGCTGCTCTCAGCGTTGGTGAGAGAGCAGTTTTCTGCAATGGGCAGCCGTTAATGGAGACTGTGAGTGCTGAGCCCTAGGTGGAGAGTCACCACTGCCCCACACCTTCCAGTCCCAGAACACAGCGGACGAGGAGACAGAGAGTTCAGGAGCTGGAGGGTAGGGAGGAGCGCTGTGAATTGTCTTTAGAACACAGCGGACGAGGAGACAGAGAGTTCAGGAGCTGGAGGGTAGGGAGGAGCGCTGTGAGTTGTCTTTTGGGTATAGTGCGTGTTGCCCTCATGATCTCACGGCAGCTGGGGTTGCCTGCATACCATCAAGGCGGTCACCATTCCAGCATGCACAGGCCTCCCTCTAGCTGAAGAGCTATGGACAGCTATGGGAGGGAAAGTCATTTTTCTTAGAGGGTACGGCATAAGCACGGTGCCCATGCTTCAGTAGACGGCTTCACTCTCACACATATGTATACAGGTGGCACTTACTGGAGCCAGTGCAAACACACACGGTAAATTTAAAGTTTGAACATAAGAGCTTACCTCTATTTCGGTAACTTTCTCAGAAGGGTTATCGATTAAGAAACGTGCTAAAGTCCCAGGAGTTGTTCTGTAAGTTAAAATGATTGAGTTTTTGGGGTCCTGGCACCACTGAATAAAGAGGTCCCTTGAGAACCCACACTCCAGGTCAGGCTGGCTGGCAAGTACAACTTTGGGGCTGGGAACTCGAGCCAAGTCAGAAAGACCATGGCACAGAGAGAGATGGCGAAACTGAAACGGATTATTTCTCTTGTCTTCAAAACATCTCATCAATTTATCACTCATCCATTCTACCTAATACAAGGGAGAAAAGGACAATAATTACAAAATGCCATATGTGTGATACTTAACAATAATCACATTTTAAGACACACACCCCCCAGTTTATTAAATTTGTGCCATTTGGACATGTAGCTAATCGGACCTTTTCCCCGTTAGATTCTCTTACTCCAGTTTTTAACCCTTAAAAAGCAAAACAAAACAACAACAGCAAAACCCCATTTTGTTGAGTGTGGGGTTGCACACCTCTAATCCCTACACAGAAGGCATCTGCAGAAGCTGGTGGATATCTGACTTTGGGGCCAGCCTGGTCTACAGAGAGGATTCCAAAGCCAAGACTACACAGATAAACCCTGTCTTGAAAAACAAAAACAATTTTGCAATGTTTCACTGATATGGGCTTATAATCTTTCTGAGAATGGTGTTCTAAATGAAGATTAGAACCAGGTATCATTGCTTGGAAGAAAATAATTCATTTTAAGAATGACGAATTCTCCAAAGCAATAGAGAACCTGTCTTGGAGAAAAGAAAAAAAAAAGAATGATGGCTATGCTGAGCTGTGGTGGCACACACCTTTAATCCCAGCACTCGGGAGGCAGAGGCAGGCAGATGTAAGTGAGTTCAAAGCCAGCCTGGTCTACAAAATGAGTTTCAGAACAAGGACCGTCACACAGAGAAACTCTGTCTTGACTCCCCCCACCCTGTAAACAATGATGAATGCTATCTAACATTGATATTTTATTTTTACTCCCACTTTATAGATCAGAAAACCAAGTATTAGAAAACAAGCAACTTGCTCAACCTATAAAATGGAGACAAAGATAGAAACCTTGTACTTAAATGAAGTAACATATGTGAAGAACTCAGGACAGTAAACAGTTAACATTCAGCTACTATTATCAAATGCAGAAAAATAACATCTGACAGGCAATTAAGGCACCATACCTAGCCACTCTTCTCAATGTCGCTGGAGAACAAAGAACAAACCTGTGACTTAGAAAACTCCACCACATTATAGCTGACGTTATTCAGGAGTGCTAGGGAATAGACTCCCAGGCCTGCGTCTTTGGTTCTCCAAATCTGATCCAGAAGTTGAGCAAGCTCCAGAACCCTGCCAGCTGTGTCCACTGCTATTAGCACGTTCCCATCACCACGTAGAGTTTCCAGAACATTTGCTTAAACAAGAACAGAGGGGCCCCATGAAGCATATGCTTTGCAACAAAATCAAACAGTTTCCAGTGTCTTCTATAAGGACTGCATAAGTAATTAGTAGGACACATATAAAAAGTATTTGTTCAGATCAACACATTGACTGTTGACTTAGATATATCTTTTTTAGGAATAAAACACATAGTACATGCTTTGTATGCATGCATGTAGAATATAAACAAGAACACATACTCTTCCCCAAGAAGAAAAGCATCTTTGACAATAGATGTCCTTGTTCTCAAAGTCAGCTTGAAGTGCTGGGTAAAAGCAAACTCTACTCAGCAAGCGCGCGCAAGCGCGCGCACACACACACACACACACACACACAGGAGCTTCTTAAAGTTAGTGCATTGGTAAGTAGAGAGATGAGAGGTTTGCTCACATGTTTAAAAGTGGAACCCAGCTTTCCTGCTGCCATCACATATGGCTTATAAAAAATAACACAAAGAACAGCAGAATGAGTCAAAGCAGAGCGAGAAGTGGCGGCGGCTCAGAGGCGCCTCAGTAAAATCAAGATGGCTGTCAGGACAGAGCATGCAGCACACAGCAGTGGACCTTGTGCTTTGTCAATGCTCTCTTGGGTTCACTTTCGCTCTGTCCTTTTGATCTCTCTCTATATATGCATGTTACACAGAGACCAGTGAGTACCTGCAGGAGCTATCTACGCGCTGAGTGGTAGAGGAAGCCAGTCTTTAGAGAGTACCTTGACATGGTCACATGAACATTTCTTAAAACAAAAGACCACAGGAGTGATGGGGCCAGCAAAATAGCTTGGTGGGTTAAGGCACTTGTTGCAAAGCCTGATGACCTGAGTTTGACCCCGAGACTGAGATGGTAGGAGAACTGACTTGCCCAAGTTGTCCTCTGACCGCTACATGCACTCCGTGACAAGTATACATTTATGCATACATTGTACAAACGTATACAATGTAATTAGAAAATTAATGGAGTTAGAGCTGATCTCTTCTGACATAGTGAACAGAATAAGCAGGAATGGCTATCCCCACACACTCCCACAGCTATTCCAGCAGAGTGCAGACATACGTACTCAGGAGCTGCTCATCTCTCTGTTTCCTCCTAGGCTGCACGTATGTAGCATTAAATGAATCTGTGATAAGTAGAGAGGGTCTGCTTAGCATTTCCAGGGAACATCCATTTAAGTGGCTATAACAAAGTTTAGAGATGGAAAATACCTGTCATTTCAAATGAACAGTGATGGCTTCACCTATTACAGAAGCTATTAACTGCTTTTGTAAGTACCCCAACTATAAACATATGCATGATGATTTTTAAAACCTGATACATTCAAAAACGTTTAAGGAGGAAAGTAGAAATGTTCCAGAGGACTTCAAGGCAAATGAAATGGTATATTGGACATATCCTTCTCAACAAATTTCCTTGTGTATCCATATATGCATTTAGAACACGGATATCCCTGTATATTTGCATAAATTCATTTCTAGCTTCTGGACATTTCCCATGACATGATATCAGCATATTTTCTAAACCTAACTTTTTGAAATTGTAAAAACTTTCTGCCTGTGAATTATTTTTAGAGCAAAGGGCTATATGTAGCCCAGGTGACGTCATAATCTTCCAACATATCAAATGAATAATGTAAAATTATACCTATTATTATGCCCTCTATAGGAAATCTATCACGAAATATCATTAAGTTAGATAGTAATTAGTACCCAGCCCCCAAAGACAAGAAGTCACAAAGTTTTATCAAGAATTAAGGTCATATAAGATATAATTTAATGTATAAAGATTCACACCCTTTGAACACCTCCAGAGAAACATCTACTTCATAAAATAAATATTTTATAAAGTTTAAAGCCCTTATATCCCATAATGAACCTGTCAACCTACAATGAAAATACTCAATACTTGGCATTTTTATATTGCTATAGAGTTCTGATGAAAAAACAAAAAGTTGCTTCTAATTTTCCCTTTAATGAATGAAACAATATCTGCATTGCCTGTAGCGCTTGTCTAGATATACCTACATCTCCCTCTTGTGGTTGAAGTCAACGGCATAAACAATTTCTTCTTCTCCATCTTTGACTATCTTCCATATTGTCCCTCCTATCATATGACCAGCTGGCAGGGGTGTGATAGACAAACCATGTCCTTTGCCTACATAACAAGATAATGACAATACTCAGATTTTTTTTCACAACCCCAAGGACAGATGCATTTCTAAGTTATGTTAACAGGAACATGTTCGCTGGCATTAAATTCAGATGCTAAAATGCTTACGGTGAAAGGAAACCCTCAGCTCCAACCTCCACACAACCGTTCTTCTCATTCTGTTGTGCAATCTCCCAGATATATCTATCTGTGTTTACAAACACAAGGCTAGCGACTGGACAAAAAAGACAGCACACTACTCCGCAGCATGAACTGTATGTAGTGCCATGGACTAAGCCCAGGGCCCCCTGTACACCAGGAAAACACCACCATACTACATCCCTGGGACTAAGTTTTGATATTTGTATTGCACAGGTAATTGCAAAGTTGTTTCCCTATCTGTTAAGCTAGCTGACGAATTAACAATTCAAACCTCATTATGGTAATGAATTTACCCACGAAAAGCTAAACCCAAGCAAAACGACTAAGACTATACCACTAATGGTCATTCTGTGGTCACCAGCATCAACTGATGCTGTGTCACTCTTCTTGGTCAGCTTTTATTTTTTAGATAGGGTTTCACCAGGTATATCCCAGGCTGCCTGAACTTGCTGTGTACCCTAGATGGGCCTTGAACTCATGATCCTTCTCTCAGCCTCCCAAGCATTTGGATTACAGGTACGAACCACCACACTGCTACTGTGGTATGTTTTTAATGCCAGGGTTCCTGTTTAAGAAATCTGTAATAGGATTCCCTCTTACAGACTTGTATATCTTTATTAAGCAATAAACCTTCTACTCTGCCGTTCAAGTATTTAAATTGCTTCAGTTATTACATTTAGGGCTCTGAGTCACTCTGTCTCCTGAACCTAACTGTAAGTTACTAGGAGGATGCAGACATACTAGCTTTGTTTGTTTTACACTGTTTCCGATCTATATATGAGTACACCCAAGCTGTTTCGTTGTTAGTATTTAGTCTGAAGTATTTTGCAATTCAAAGGGAAATTCCAGGTAGAAAGTGCTAATCCCAACCCCCGGTTTCTGTGTAGCCCTGGCTCTCCTGGAACTTGTTCTGTAGTCCAGGCTGGCCTCGAACTCAAGAGTGCCATCTGCCTCTGCTTCCTGAGTGCTGGGATTAAAGGTGTACGTCACCATGGCCTGGCAGAAGGTGCTATTTTTTATTCCCACGCCACAGTGCCTATAACTGGTACTATGAACTCCTCTAGGTACTTCTCAGAAGGTAACTAACTCTATTACTACAAAGTGGGCAGGATGCGGCTCAGGGTAGATCACTTGCCCAGTGTGAGTGAGGCTCTAGGTTGGACCCCAGCACTGTAAAACCTAAAAAGCTACAGACAGAAAGAAGACAACAGGACCTCCACTCCCTTAGTCCATCAATCTACTACATTACCTTTCAAGTTCACAATCTGAGAGAATTTGAGCTGCTGTATTTTATCAAAGGCTGCATCCACATCATCTAATGTGAAGAGGGTAAAATCTTCCGTATTGTGTCGAGACTAAAGAAAAACACAAGACAAGGTTAAAAGCGACCACGTGGGCAACATTAACGCCTCTCTTGCTACCCGTTTCCATTACCTGATAAAGGTCGTACATGAACATCTGCCCCATTTTATAAACAGGAATTGTAGCATAGATGGCACAGTTCAGACCCAGCTTTCCCACAGCAAAAGGGAGGGCGCCAAGGTGGAGCGGGTCAGGGTGAGAGAGGAGTACCGCATCAATCTGGTGGACGTGCCTGTGAACACAACCAAGAGGGCAGCTCCATCAGTTCTTTAAGCACAAAGGGCGGAACCGCCATCATGATCCTGCCATTGCAGACTCAAGGGTATGCTGAGGTAGGAAAGCAAACCAAGGGCTAACACGATGCCTATGCATTTGCATTGTAATTACGGCTGCACAGTACCAGGTGTGCTTTAAGACTCCTAAAAAGGGGAATGTAGACACCTCATTTAAGTTGATCTGGAATGGCTATCACGGATGCTATTAAGTTTAGGAATTCGGCTTGGAACGGAGGAAATGTTAAAGGGGCAATATTTAAATGCTCAAATAGTTGTTACTGACTCTGCTTCAGTTTTCTAGCTTGGTGACAAAATAAAACGCCAACTGTCACACATATCATTAACCAGGGAAGTATATGGCCTCAAGGACAACAGAATAAAGGAGATGCCTTAGAGATCTCTTGATCCCCCCCTGTTCCCCTTCCTCCCTCCCTCCCTCTCTGAGGTATTTGTATCAGGTGGATACTATTGGAATAGAGATACAGAAAGTGAGGCAATGTGATTCTGGGAACAGAGTTTTCACAGGGAAGTGTCGCCTCTCCTCAGGTCTGACAGACTTATCTTTCCAAAAATTGAAGAGCATGATGTCTGTGGTCCACTAGCAAAGTAACTGAATTTCAAAAACAAAACTCATCAGCCAATCAAAACCTTACAAATTACAATTTAGCTTTCTACCAAGAATAAACTTACTATAAAGTAAAGAAAGAATAGCAACAGTATATAACACAGAATGACTTTATTAAAGTGTAGAAAAAGAGAAGTTGAGCTGTTTTTAAAGCTCATTTAGTAAAAGCCTAGAAGCACAAATTGTAACTTACTTCCTCAGGGAATCAATTATGTCCATGGAGAAGTGTTCATCCCAGCCACAGTCCAACAAAAACCTAAACTCATCAACCTGGAGAAGATAGCACAGAGCAGACTCTTCTTGGACCCCAGAGAGGGTAGTTAATTTGATGATAGAAGTCATCTTTCTGGTCCAGTAATGGTTACCTAAACAGTGCTGACAAATGAAAAGATAATGAAACATAAAAGCATGGTCCACATCACAGGCAAATTACTTCAATTTTTAAGTGTGCAGAAATTCCAGAGTCTGATTAAAACTAGCATGTTAAAACCCATTCCCTCACAGCCATATTTACAAGTACAGTTTTGTTTACAGAGTCCTGGGCCTCCCTAGGGCTGGTCTGTAAATAGGGACTTTGGAATCACTGATCCAGATTTCAATCAAGTCTTACACGATTCAGGGCAAGGTAATTAACTTTTCTTCATCTAGCGACTCCGGTCCACAAAACATTAGTATTAATATACACACACAGAGGGTGGAGGATTCCAAATAACCAGGAAATTATCTAGAGCTGAGATCACTATACCCATATTGCTCACTATTAAGTGGTAGTAGATTAATAACTCAGCTTCAAGGCTAATCTGTTTTTTCTTTATCTTGCTTGATGACAAAGTCTTTTTCACTATACAAGAGGTCTTAAATATGGGGACTCTCTTGAGAATGAACCATGGCTGTTCCTTTCTCCCACAATTTTCAACACACACACTCTGAAACTCACATACTTTTCAGGAAGCTTAATGTTAACAGCTCTTGTGCTACACTGTAAGCAACTGAAAAACATCTTAATGTTTCCAATTAATTCTGACAGTGTCTTATGTTTACAATTCCGCAAACAACCTGACACAACGGTACTCAGCACACACCAGATGCAATGTGGGAATATCTACTATACATTTTCCAAAAGGACTAATATGAACACTGTTTTGTAGTAAACTTGTGGGATGAAGTGTTTGGAAAAAGTTGGCTCAGCAGGTAGTGTAGGGTCTACATTTAACTGCTCTAACCCCTTTGGTTTGCTTATTTATTTATAGACAAGGTCTCATGTAATGTAGATGGCTTCTCTATGTAGCAAAAGATGACTTTAAACTCCTGATCCTCCTGTTCCCCTCCTCAAATACTGGGATCATAAGCCTGGGTAATCACAACTGACTAGATTTGAGCCATCTGGTATATTAATTAGCAGAAGCATATAGTAGCTGTTGTAATAAGTTACAACTTTGAAACACACTGACTTACTGTAGTCTCAATTGAGGCATGTGAGTAAACACATTAATTTCTATTCTGTTTGTTGTTGTAGCCCTGGCTGTCCTGGAACTTACTATGTACCAGGCTGGCCTTGAACTCACAGACATCCACCTCCCTCTGCCTCCAGAATGCTGCTTCTGCCTCTAGATTAAAGGCATGCAGCACTGTACCTGGCTTAGTCTTCTATTCTATAAAAATGTTTATAAATACAGTTTTGAAAAGAATCTAGGCAACATTTCCTCAAAGCTGCTTCTATTGGGGGGAAGGGGCAGTGCTTAGACTCAAACTTGGGGTCCCATGCATGTTAAGCGAGTGCTCTAGCACTAAGCTAAATGCCCAACTCTTTAAAACTACTTCCGCTTTCAATGTTACTTAATTATGAACTCAAAATACAAAGTGCTTGAGATATAACTGAGCAAATTCCCATTAAAACTTTTACCAAAAGACCCAACATGGAAAGTATTGGGTAGGTTCTTGTGGTAAAATGTATCCTTATCAGACACTCATTACCTAGCAATATCTCAGCCAAAAATAAGATAAAACATACATTCAGAAGAGTTCCTTTTTGTTTGTTGGGTTTTTTGTTTTGTTTCTGTTTGTTTGTTTTCCCCGAGAGACAGGGTTTCTCTGTGTAGCTTTGGAGCCTGTCCTGGAACTAGCTCTGTAGACCAGGCTGGCCTCGAACTCAGAGATCTACCTGCCTCTGCCTCCCGAGTGCCGGGATTAAAGGTGTGTGCCACCAACACCCGGCTCAGAAGAGTTCTTCATAAATCTTTTTTAAAAAGTCTCAGGATGTAATGTAATTGACTTCTGTTTATAATTATGGTGTTTTCATTTCTATGTCTTTGCTCAACATCTTGAGCAAAGTGCATATGCCTTTTGTCTGTCTGTTTTTTGTTTTTTGTTTTTGTTTTTTTTTTTTTTTTTGTTTTGTTTTGTTTTTCAAGACAAGATTTCTCTGTGGCTTTGGAGGCTGTCCTGGAACTAGCTCTTGTAGACCAGGCTGGTCTTGAACTCACAGAGATCTGCCTGGCTCTGCCTCCCCAGTGCTGGAATCAAAGGCATGCACCACCACCACCTGTCTGTCTGGTTTTTCTTTTTTTTGAGACACGTTGGTCTGGAACTGACTACATATCCTAAATGGCCTCAAGGTTCTTTATTCTCCTGTCTCAGCCTCTCAAATGCTAGGATTCCAGTGCCTAGCCCTATATGTTCCATTTTAAAAAGAAGAAACTCAGTGGTTAAGAGCTTTTGCTGTTCTTACAGAGAACCTGGGTTCAGTGGTTCACATCACCCAGAACTCCAGTTGTAGGGGATCCAAAGCTCCAAACTCCAAAGGCACCAGACATGTACATGTTGTAAACATATGCATACAAGCAAAACAGGCATTCACATAAAATAATAAGTCAAAAAAAAAAAAAAAAAAAAAAAAAACACCAACCAATTGTAAGGAGTTAAATTCACAAAAGGGATAAAGCATATAAATAAAATAGTCATGAGGCAAACTTGTTGTAACCTACTTACATATACAGTTATAAAATGAAGTTTAAAAAAATAAAAAAAATTAAAAAAGAAAGAAAATGAAATTTAAAACTTCTCCATTGCTGCCGGGTGTTGGTGGCACAGGCCTTTTATCCATCCCAGCACTCGGAAGGCAGAGGCAGGTGAATCTCTGTGAGTTGAGGCCAGCCTGGTCTACAGAGCAAGTTCCAGGACAGGCTCCAAAGCAATACAGAGAAACCCTGTCCCAAAAAAAAACAAAAACAAAAAAATTCTCCACTGCTTCTGTTATTGAGAATAAAGATCATTTACTGAGAAAAGACATTCAAAAGATTGGAATGACATCAGCTAAGGCACAAAACACAGAGCTAGAGCGCATCAGTGAAGAACTTAGCCTGCCATGCTTACTGAGTAAGACAGACAGACTGACCTAATGAGCATGACAGGCCCAGCTGACGGGCCCTGGATACCTTGGATCTAGGTCTACAGGCAGTAAAGAAGCATTTAAAAATTCATTAACAGGCAGAAGGCATGATACTGGCAACTCTACTGAAGGAAGGCAGGCGATGTGCATGACTGAACACTAACAGGGCATGGGCATAGGAAAGGGAAGGTGCTTCATTAGACTACGGAATGCTTCTCTCCACTTTGCTGGGTCTATTCTTTAGTCCTGGCTGTGTTTTAGAATTCTTTATCAGTTCACTGGTTTTTAGCTAAGTGGCCAAGGCTGAAGGTTTTCCCTTTATTTCCCTGGGACTGTCCCCTATCAATTCTGAGTTGTTTCTCCCTCAGAACACCTTGCCCATATATCATCCCTTTTCTGTTCCTACTGTCAACACCTGACCACCAGACCTCATTACCTTCTATTTGGGGTTTTCTCCCTGTAGCTTCTCCTCCCTTCATGTCAATGGAAACACTACTGCCAGATTAATCTAACCCCCCCACCCCCCACAAACACACGCACTACCCTTGCTCAAGTCTTTGGAGGCAAGGCTGGCAAGATTAACTTGGCAAGTGGTTAACTTGAACCTGAGTTCTATCCCTTATACCCGAATGATGGAAGGAGAGTACTTACTCCAGCAAGCTGTCTCTGACCTTCATCTGTGCACTGTGGAACATGTGTATGTGTGGTGAAATAAAAGCAAAAAACCTTAAAAATGTCTTATTGCTTGAGGGGGAAAAATAAAAACAAATAACTGAGTGCTATTAATGGCAAGTGGGATGAGAAGCCTCCAGTTTACTCTTCTCTCAGGGTCTAGATCAAACTTTTCTTCCTCGTCCCTTTCTCATCATCATTAGTCTAGACTAGATCAATATAACTCGAGCCACAGACATAATCTAAACTTTCCATAGCCATATTTAAAAGTAAAAAGAGGTAAAGCTCAACGTTTTATTTAACATCATTTCAACATGTGATCCTTTAATGAGTTGGTTTACATTGTTTTTATACTGTCTTCAAATTCCAGGACATCTCCACTCCATTTCAAGTGCTCAATATTGCATGTGGCTAGCGGCTACTGTAATAGCAGAGGTCTAGACTCCAAAATCAATGCTTTAGGCCGGGGAACATTGTGTTTTTGCCACCGCTAAAGAGCAGCTGCCACCACCCTGTTTTTATGTACATGCCTCAGACTGGATTTTAATGGTTATCACCAACCATGAAGTCTCCCAGACTAAAAACTAGCCACCTCCTACCAGTAAATTAGTACTCCCTAGTTGAATCGTATGCAGCATTACTTCATTTCTCTTGGTCTTTCTTCTCCTGCCTCATGGAGGTGCTGGTTGGTGCCTTACCCGAATGACTGCGATTTCATCTGGTTTTCTGGCCTCAAGTTGGTCCTCCACACCCTTATCATGCCCACTCCCTGCAAGTATGCACTAGCTTCCCGCTAACTATTGAATACAAGCCAAACTGCAAATCAAGACCACTCACAAGCTGTTCTCAGCCTCCCACCTGCACCTTCAGTCTTCACCCACCACTCCTTCCGGCTTTTGTATTTAAATCTCCCTTTACCTCCTCAAGTTTTTAATCCTCATTCTGCGTCCAGGAGTGACTCTGTCTTCCCGGGTTTAGTAAACGCCTTTTGATCCAGCTCAGGTGAAGCCTTTTCACTTGACTACTTAGTACAGAGAATATTTCACTTGATTACTTAGTACAGAGAATATATGCTGAACGGATGGATGCTGAATGTCTAAGAGGGAGTGTCTCCACAGCGCCCAAATCAAGCACATCGCTCCCAGCAATATAAATAAATGCATGCTGAAAGCAGTAATGACTTTCGACTATCTCTGCTTTTCCCGAATATATGCTTGTTCTCTCAAGAATGATCATGCACGTTGAAGACAACCAATGAGAAGTATGGAAAATCCAAGAACAAAGATGGGCCTGGACTAGTGCTGGGGCTTAGAGAGGGGGAGAAGTCGTCTTTCTAAGTCGATCAGGTAAAGAAGGGCTTTGAAACAGGCAAGGGAGTTGTGACATCAAAGGTAAGAGGGTAGGCATGGATGGTGGCTTAAGTTCTCCTGATCACATCGGGCCAGACTACTGGGTTAGAGCTGGCTTGACCTCTGGTTTCCTGAAAAGTATGTAAACAAGGAAAATGAGCAAGAGGTTTCGGAAACCGTGGAAGCACCGAGACCGACCGCACGTCTAACAAGGCGTGGGATAAACATCTCGAGGGGTTTTGAAGTTTAAGGAGCCAAGAGGGCACCTGGCCTCGTGGTCTCGGAACCCAAGATAGGCAGAGCGGCAGAAGGAGGGCTTGGGGTGGGGGTGGGGGGGCCGCGGCACCCGGCAATGGAGCCCAGGCTGGACGCGGGTGAACTCTCAGCCCCAACAGGACGGAAGGTCGGAGGACATCTACAGGAGGGAGGGCAAGGAGCAGAGGAGGGCCCACGGGAGCGCCACCAACACCCCGAGGTTTCGACCCGTGGAAAAGTCACTTTTCTTTCCCCTTGCGGAACGCTTTTTCCAGGAACCACGGAGACGGTCACAACCGAAACCGCGGGAGCGCGTCCGGGCGACACCGGGCCGATGCAGGAACCCAGTCCCCCGAGGGCCTCCTCCCAGACGCGAAGGTTTCCTTTCTCCGGTCCTCACCTGCCTGGTCAGGCTCCCCGGGCACGGTCCACGGCCCTTCCCAACCCGTAGTAAGACGCAGGTTCGAGAGCGAGCAGAGCAGGCGCGCGCTCAGCGGCGCAGAGCGGCCGGCGGGAGCCCCTGTGTGGCGGCCGCCATCTTGGGCCCGAGGCGAGCGGCGGAGGCGGGGACGACTCGGGCGACACCATCTGTGGGGGTGCCGGGGGCCCGGGCTCGGGAGGACGGCAGCGCAAACGCTCGCCAGTCTTGTGAGCTTGGATCCGGGCTTTGTGCAGCCGCTCTCGCGAATACCGAGGGCTTAAAAATTTGAGGGACCACGCGTGAGGGCAGGGGGAGAGAGGCGCTGAGCGGGCGTCGCCACCCCTCTCCTCAGGGCTGGCGCCGAGAGTGGCAGCTTCTGAGGTCACAGCTTCCGCTGTGGCCGCTGGCCTGGCTCCCTAGCGCTGCCCTTGGTCCCGTGGGTCGTGCTTGACACCGGGCTGCAGGTGGGTCTGGGGACGTCGCGGTGGCGCAGGCGGCGGTGGCGCAGGCGGGAGGGTTTCTGGGCAAGGCTGGAGTGGAGGGAAACCAGGGTCGCCCTTGGGGGAGCGATACGGGCCGCCCTGCCCGCTCCGCACCTTCAAGGGCTGCTCTGATGCGGCCTTAACCGAAGCGCAGTTTGGGGACCGCCCGATGGCCTCGCCCTCTCGGGACTCGGGACTGGAGAGGGCACGCGCGGGGATCCGCTCTGAGCCCGCGGCAGGGATCGTGGCTCCGATCGATCCGGAAGCAGCGCGCATTCGCCCGGGCCCAGACATCTATCTGCCTCCACACCCGTCGTCACTCTCCTAAATATGAAGCCTGCACTTACCCGTTTGCCTTTTAAAGACACGGCTTTATGCTTGTGTGTGTCACGATCTCAAGGGTTCCATGGCTCTACGCATTCGGGTCTGTTTTCCACTGCTTAGGCGACACTTTGTGAGCGGTACTTATAAGGCACGGTGGGATCCAGTTAGATACAAGGTGTCTCTCTTAAAATGTCTACATGTTTCTAAAGTGAACCCAGAGCCGACTCACCAAAATAAGACACCAGTTTCTGTTTTCTTCTTGGAAGGGGAGAGAAAATTACGTTAGAGAAAAATGTAGGGGAAAGGTGGGGTTTTGTTGTTGTTTTAAAAACAAGCAAAAACTGGGTATGGTAGTGCACATCTTTCATCCCAGCGCCCAGGAGGCTGAGGCGGGTGCATCCCTGTGAGTTTGAGACTAGCTTGGTGTACACAGTCACTTCTACACAGTGAGGCTCTGCAAAAAAAAAAAAAAAAAAGTTATTTAAATATTTTGTGCATACAAGGAGGCAGTATAACACAAGAGTTTAAGCCATGTGAGGGTAAAGATTGATTGCCTGGGTATTATGCTAATACTGATCCTTCATTCTCTAACTTAAAGCAACTTTACCATGAATGACCTTGTATTTCTTGATCTGAAAAAATACTAATGCCCACTGCATTGAGACATTGTTACCTAATAAACCTGCAGTGCTGTGGTGAGGATTATGTGATTTAGTGGTTACACAGAAACACCTTTTATGGATGGCCCACTTCTGTAATTCCAACCATGTGTGAGGATAGGGGATAGTAAGTTTGAAGCCAGCCTGAGCCACACTTTAACTCAAAAAAAAAAAAAAGATGACTTTAATATTAAAAGATACACGAGCAAGGCAGTGTGTGTAGCTCTATATTAGAGCAGGTGCTTTACAAAGCCAAGGGCAACCCCAGCATCCACCCCCCGACCCCCACAATCTCCCTGAGTTCAAGGCCAGCCTAGTCTACAGCATGAGTTTCAGGACAACTAGGGCTAACAGAGAAACCCTGTCTAGAAAAACAAAATAATAAAAACAATAAAAAAAAAAAAAGAGCATCAACAAAAAAAGAAATACTATAGTTATTTCAAATTCTGAAATAAAATTCTTTTTATGGACCCTCATACAAAAAAGACATCCCTGGGGCTAGAGAGATGGCTTGGTGCTTGCTGCTTTTCCAGAGGGCCTGAGTTTGGTTCCTAGCACCCATGTTGGGTGGGTGGCTCACAATACCAGCTCTAAAGGGCCCTGATGCCTCTGGCCTTCTCAGCCACCTGTACTCATGTGCACAGGCACACACACTTACAAAAAACTTAAAATAGGCACACACCTTTAATCCCAGCACCCGGGAGGCACAGGCAGGTGGATCTCTGTGAGTTTGAAGCCATCCTGGTCTACAGAGTGAGTTCCAGGTCAGGCTGCAAAGCAATACAGAGAAACCCTGTCTCAAAACAAACAAACAAACAAAAAACCCCTTAAAATAAATCTGAGGATGTAAAGGGACTAATAATATGTATAGTACTCTCATAAGCACCAGCCAGGAATATATTTCTTAAAGCGTAAATTGGCCCTGTCCTCTTGCTAAAATTCTTGGCTCACCCAAAACCTAGACTTGCCTCAGTGAAGCTTATCTAGGTCTTCACCACTGTTGCCTAGACTTCATGAAGCTCTGTGGATTTGGGCCCATGACCAAGATTCTCACTCTACTTCCTCCTTACCCATTTTATGAAAAATTACTCTGATTCACAGATGTCCATTTTCACCCTCCCAATTCATCTGCTTGCAGGAAAACATGCATGCAGCTAATGTTCACTGCACTGCTCCCCATACCCATTGAATATATGCTGTACCACTGTGATTTGAGACCCCTCTCTAGGACTAAGATGTGTCATTATCTCTTATGTATATTCCTTCATGATGATTGAATCATCATGTCATTACATCTGGAGTTAGAGGACAACTTTTAGTTGTTGAGAAGTCTCTCCTTCTATCAGATTTGGGTCCTTAGACCTGATGGCCAGTGCCTTTACCTGCTGAGCGTGTTTCTGGCCCTTAAGTTTGCAATAAGGGCAGGAAGTATAGATGATCACTGAGTTTGCCAAACTTGAACACAATGTCCTGAACGCAGACACTGTCTAGTGTTCTGCAGTTGACTGCTTTTAACGTAACTCCATCTTTTATCAAAGGTCTTTACCATCTCCATTCTTGCTAGCCTCAAGTTTACAAAGCAGGTGAGCAGTTCACTTGGTGAGCCCTTGGCTAGCATTTTCAAGAACTACTTTATAAATGATGCTGTTTAATAAAGGCTAAGAGAGAACCACTGTCTTCTAGGAAATAAAGCAAGATTAGCTTTACTTACATTTATATATCTCCAAGAAGCATTTGTTTCCAAATCAGTGGGTGAGTTGTTCTGGAGTCTGGAAGAGCCCATATGTGGCAAGAACCCCATAGTCTCATCTCTTTTCTGGATGGAGCCAGACCAAACCCATTTCTTAGAATGTGAATGCCAGTAGTGATAGCTCTATTCCTGTCTCATCCTGGAGGTAAGGCCAGAAATCCCCTAGTTTAAAAAGACTCCCCAGGTGGCTCTGATGTGTAGTGTTGAGAATTCCAGCTGTAGCTAGGCAACAGACTAGAACATAAAACAGACGGACATGTTTTAAGTATATGTTCATCTCACCATGTGCTACATCATAATTTTGTAGACCAGTTGATGTTCAAACTATGAGGAATAGTATTATGAACTATGTAGTACCTTAGGCTTTTAACTTCATGATTATAGTCTTAACACTGACACTCTGGGTACTAGGTTCTTAAAATCTGACAGATGGAGTGGTGAGTGTACAGCCCATGTCAGGAGGTGGAGCAGGAATGGAGCCTGCATGGGCCGCACACAGGTTATGCTGAGCACTCTGGCAGCAATGTACTGCTCCTCCTGGGACTGTCATGTCCTCTCAGCCACTGCGTGTGATGTATTCATTCCCATGTGTTTTTGTTTCATCTGTGCATGTGAATCTTAACAAAATTGGTGGTTCGGTGGTGGTGGTGTTGAATTCAGCACACATTTGCAATTTTTTACCTGACTCCCAGTTCTGCTCTTCCTCACCTGCCCTCTGGAAAATGTTAAAAGCCAGAAAGTCTTTAGATGACTGGAAATACCACCTCAAGGAAAGAAAGTGTGCTGTGCTACAGAAGGCATTATTTGGAGTGGACCTGAATTTGAACAGCAGCTTGTAATAGCTACTCCCTTTTTAAGATGTATTGTTCCTAGCCCTTAAGAATTCCCAACCACCTTTTATTTCAGTATTTCAAAGGCAGTTGTATTTTATATTTAATTTTCTCCACTTTGTTTTAGCAGCCATAATGACCTTGCTTCAGCTTGTACGTGACCACTGGGTTCATATACTTGTCCCTGTGGGATTTGTCTTTGGATGCTATCTAGACAAGAGGGATGACGAAAAGCTGACTGCCTTCCGGAATAAGAGTAAGCTATTTCAAAGGTTAGTTCACGAGCCTCTGGAGTTTGGGCTGTTTTTTCAGAGGTAAACAAAGCGGTGGTTTTTTTTTTTTTTCTACTCTGATGATTTATGGTCAAGTGATGGACAGACACTTCAGGCTTGTTATTTAATCATTGGACGAAATTGTAGGACTACCTCTGGAATATAAATAATCTTTAGTATATGATCTAACCATTGCCAATCTTTGAAAGCTTCCTGATTTTTTCTTTCATTAATATTTTCATGGTGACTTTTGGGAAAATTGGTTTTTATATGTGTTTGTCACATGTTGTGTGGGAGTGCTCCTAAAGGCTAGAAGAGGGCATCAGGTTCCCTGGAGCTGGAGTCACAGGTAGTTGTGAGCCTCCCACTGTGAATGTCCTCTGTGAGAGCAACAAGCACTCCTAACCACTGAGCCATTTCCCAGCTCCCCATTATGCATACATTTGTACTTTCACCCCATTCACTGGTTCTCTTGTCTTCCAAAAGGACTACCTTCTGTTTTCATGTCACATGCATTTAAATCTAGGTTTTGCATGAGAGCAAACATGAAGTATTTTCTAATTTCCATTACCCTTTCCCTTGAGACTCCCCTTGTAGTTCCCATTTCTACAAAGTCAGAATTTTTAAAGGGTGTATTGTAGTGTAGCAACAAAACTTAAATCAGCTTTCATATATGTTATTGTATAACATATATATCTTAAGCCATAGAATAGCTGAAGTAAACAGTAATGCTGTGTTTTTAATGTCACTGCTTGAGAGCTTTACATATGATGACTGAGTGGGAATGCCCAGAAGCTGCCTGGGTCTGTGTCATGCCTAGCA